TGGCTTCACCACTATCGTCTTGGTCACCCGTCCTTTAGAGTCCTACAAATTATGTTTCCACAATTGTTCATAGGAATTGATGTTTCTGAGTTTCATTGCGATGTTTGTGAACTAGCAAAACATACTCGTGTTCCTTTTCCTATCAGTAATAAAAGAAGCGTTTTTCCTTTTCAATTGATCCATAGTGATATTTGGGGTCCATCTACTATTCCTAATGTATCAGGGGCTCGTTGGTTTGTCTCATTAATTGATGATTGCACACGTGTAACCTGGCTGTTTTTACTTAAACAAAAATCTGATGTCAGTCATATTATTCCCAGCTTTCACTCCATGATCCAAAACCAATTTGGGGTGAAAATAAAAACCTTTCGGTCAGACAATGCTAGGGATTATTTCAACCAGGTTTTATCACCCTATTTTCAAAAGGAAGGAATTATTCACACTTCTTCTTGTGTGGATACACCCCAACAGAATGGGATAGCTGAGAGGAAAAATGGGCACCTATTAAATGTCACTAGAGCCTTGTTGTTTCATGGGAACATGCCTAAATCCTACTAGGGGGAAGCCGTCTTAACAGCCACACACATGATAAATAGACTACCCTCCTGTGTACTTGACAACAAGAGTCCTATGGCAATTCTTAACACCCACTACCCTCACTTTAGAACCTCAAATAGCCTTATACCCAGGATATTTGGATGCACAGCCTTTGTGCATGTCCACTGCCCAAACAGAGAGAAGTTAGACCCCCGGGCAACCAAATGTATTTTTGTTGGCTATTCATCCACACAAAAGGGGTACAAATGCTATCATCCTCCATCAAGAAAATTCTATATCTCAGCTGATGTTACCTTCTTTGAAAACAAATCTTATTTTTCTAAGTCCCATCTTCTGGGGGAGACAACCAATCGTGAAGATGGTACTTGGTCTAAGTCGTTTGAGTTTTTTGAGCCACTTGATCTTCCATCTCCCTCTCAGTCCCCTTTAGCCATTACTCCGGTCATTCCATCAAGTCCTTCCCAAGAGCCCGAGTCTTCCAACACAGAAACCGCCGAGTCTTCCAACACAGAAACCGCCGAGTCTTGTCAACCCCAAGAGCCTGTGTCCAGTCAAGTTACTGAGGTTCATCCAAGATTTTCTCAGGTGTATACGAGAAGGGCAAAAGTCCCAAACCTGACACAAGTCCAAGAGATCAACCCGAGTCCTGAGAATAAAGGCATGGTGAGTACAGATTCACTCCTAGACACTAAAACAGTTGAAGGTTTGGCAGATGACTCTCATTTGCCCATTGCCATCAAGAAAAAATCCCGAGAATGCTCCAAGAGGCCACTTTACCCTCTTTCCCATTATGTCTCACCTAAACGCCTATCATCATCCCACCAGAGGTTTATGGCTAGCCTAAACACAATCTCCACACCAAACACACTTTCAGAGGCATTATTGAAGGAGGAGTGGAGGAATGCTATGAGAGAGGAATTAGAGGCTCTGGAAAAGAATCAAACATGGGAGATAGTTGAGAGACCACAAGGAAAGAACATAGTTGATTGCAAGTGGGTATTTGCATTGAAGTATAAGGCTGATGGAACTCTTGAGAGATATAAAGCAAGGTTAGTTGCAAAAGGGTACACTCAGACTTATGAGGTAGATTATCAGGAGACATTCGCTCCGGTGGCAAAAATGAATACCGTGAGGACTTTAGTGTCATTAGCAGCCCACTTTGACTGGCCATTGCTACAATATGATGTGAAAAATGCCTTTCTCCATTGAGACTTGGATGAGGAGATATATATGAGCATTCCGCCAGGGTTTGAGGGGAATAAAACCAGTGACAAAGTCTGCAAGCTTAAAAAGGCTCTATATGGGCTAAAAGAGTCCCCTAGAGCATGGTTTGGCAGATTTGCTAAGGTAATGACAGATTCGGGTTATAGGCAAAGTCAAGGTGATCACACGTTGTTCTTCAAGCATTCAGCCTCAGGGGGAGTGACTACCTTACTTGTGTATGTTGATGATATTATCGTGACCGGGAATGATGAGAAGGAGAAAGGTGACTTGAAGAGAAGATTGGTTCAGGAATTCGAGATAAAGGAACTTGGGAAATTGAAGTATTTCCTAGGGATTGAGATGGCATACTCTAGACAAGGCATCTTTGTATCCCAACGGAAGTATGTGACTGATCTTTTGATAGAAACTGGAAAGGCTGAGTGCAAACCGACTGCCACTCCTATGGAATCAAACCAGAAATTAAGTGAAGCAAGAGAGGAACCACCAGTGGACAAGGGAATGTATCAAAGGCTAGTTGGGAGACTCATATATCTTACACACACTCGGCCGGATATAGTCTACTCAGTGAGTGTGATCAGCCAATTTATGCATGATCCGAGAGAGCCTCACCTTCAAGCTGCACATAGAATATTGCACTACTTGAAGGGCAGCCCCGGAAGAGGAATTTTGTTCAAAAAGAACTCTGCTTTGACGTTAGAAGCATATACAAATGCAGATTATGCAGGCTCTATAGTGGATAGAAGATCAACAACTGGCTATTGTACATTTCTTGGAGGAAATCTGATCACATGGAGGAGCAAAAAACAAAATGTTGTGGCTAAATCATCTGCAGAAGATGAATTTCGGGCTGTTGCTCAAGGGATGTGTGAACTACTTTGGCTGAAAATTATTCTAGATGATTTGAGAGTCAAGTGGGAGGAACCTATGAAGCTTTACTGCGACAACAAGTTAGCAATCAACATCGCTCACAATCCTATTCAACATGATAGGACAAAACATATTGAGATTGATAGACATTTCATCAAAGAGAGGTTGGAAGAAGGACTCATATGTATGTCTTATGTTCCTTCGGGAAGTCAACTGGCTGATGTTTTAACAAAAGGATTAAGTGGATCTAATTTTCATGAGATTGTAACCAAGCTGGGAATGGAAGATATTCATTCCTAAGCTTGAGGGGGAGTGTCGAGAGGTATTTTAGGCAGGAAACCAATTAGGAAAATTAGTTTTAACAATCCCTGATTTTCAGGGATTGTGGTAGATATTCTTTCCTATTTTCTCTCTATGTAAATTCTATAAATACCTAGCAATGTAATTATTCAATATACGGAAATACAAAGATATTTTCCAATCCCTAGTTTGCAACAGGAAGCATATGAAGAAAAAATAGAGAGATTGTGTTTTTGAATAGTAAAAGAAGGAACTCTCATTTACATTTATAATATAGATAGATATAGATATTAAACGTTTCATCAATATATATTTTCGGCAATACAATCAACTATAATGTATAAGATGTGTGTTGACAAAAATAGGTTAATTTTAAGAATAATAATTATTTAGTCATTTTAAGAATTATCTAGTCAGTCGAGGAACAGAAAATAAATCATGTATGCAGAATGATGGCCTGCAAAACATACCGTAATTCCTCCCAGATAGACAAACATATGAGATGACGTTGAATGTAGTCTGCAACGTTATTTGCATCCTTCTTGTACATATCAGCAGACACTTCAATGGCATCTCTGATGGTCAACATGTCATTGCGTGAAGTTGCACGGCCGATTGCTGTTTTGAGCTACATTCAGGCACAAGTAAAAATTGGAAAAACACATGGCAGATTGGTATTGAAAGGGAAAAGGGAATAAATAATGCAAATAAGAGATTAAACAAACAAACAAACAAACAAACAAAAAAAAAAAAAAAACTGCTTCTTCTTTCAGATCCAAATAAAAACAGTCAGAGAAGTAAAATCTTTACCTAAATTCTTTATCCATAGCTAATTGAGACTATTTTATAAGTCAATTTTGACAACAACAAAATATAGATGATAGAGAACAATTCAAGATAAATATTTTGAAATTGATTATCCAAACTTATATGTGTTATAGTCGAACAGATTACCCTTGAAGATATTGATTTAGCATTTACTTACCAATTCTTTAACTGCAATGAATTGTTCCTCAGTCAACTGACAGTGCCATCCCTGAGAGAGCATAGATTCATCTAGATTAGAATAGCATAATGCTGTATGCGGAACAGAAACCTAACCCTCTATGGATATTAAAGCCACATACTGAATGAATGTGCTCCCTGATACATTCAACAAACCCACTGCCACCAATCCCCTCAGCATCAGATTCAATCAATGCTGCAAACACAAATATATAAAATCCTGTTTAGACACAGGCTCTTTAAGCTACTAAGTTACCACTACAGAAGATTGAATGTAAAAGCGAAAAGGCAACATTTTCTCAATAGCAGTGATGTGAATTTGAATTATATTACTCATGGAAAAAAAGGTGCAAATACAGACATACCTAAGATTGTGCCATATTCAAATGATGAAAGAGGATCATCAGTTGCTCCCAATTTGAGTAGACGCAACCATAACCCCTGTTTAACGAAGGAAATCAGTGATGTGATGCTAATGTGCTGATATCAAATTAACCATTTTGACAACCTCGTCATCAGCATCGTAGCATGAAGCACACCGAAGGATATATTTTAATACAAAAGCCAATAATATTGGGGCCTTTATGCAGCCATGCATGTTGAAGATTGGGGCAAGGACTAAGGCAATTGCTCAAATAACCTTACCTTTCAGCCTGCCTTGATCATTACAAAGCCCAAAGTTCGGGACAGAAATTCAAAATTTACCTTATCATTAACATCTCTTCTTACTTTGAATCAAGCAAAATCCCGGCTAATAGACAAATACAACATTAAGGGCGGTGAACATTGCTACACCAAATATAGCATCACATATCTACATGCCAAATTCATACTCCATTTGGAATAGTCATTAGTGTAACTTTGAAGTACCAACATTTTATTGTGTAGTAGCCATTACCGCAGATGCTTCAGAAGAGTGGTCATATTAGTAAAAGGAAAAAAATAAATAAATAAATTGTTGAAATTCAAACTAGCCGAATCTAGATGAGTGATAGGCTCCTAGAATCGTGGGATAATTGCTAAGGTTCTGTTGTAAACTAATCCCTATAAATGTGTAAAGTAGTTCCTAGTATCTAGGAGTTCTCTTAGGATAAGATCTTATTTTTCTTGTGTATAAATATCCCTTCCGTTTATTCAATTAATAAGAGGAAATTCAGATTATTCCAAACTTCATGGTATTAGAGCCCTAGGTTCTCTAAACCCTAATTTCTTAGCCGTCATCTCTAGCCGACCCTCACCATGGCTGAATCCGAGCAAACCTCCGGAGACTCCTCATCTTCTGTCTCTCAAAATGTTCCTTCCAATCCTCAGAACACAAATGACAATAATCTTACTCCCATCATCAGTCACAAACTTAATGGACACAACTATCTTCAATGGTCTCAGACCATGATGATGTTCATTAGTGGACGAAGCCATGACGACTATATCACCGGTGCTGCTGTCCAACCAGGCACCAGTGATCCCAAATTCAGGACATGGAGAGCAGAAAATAATCTGGTCATGTCTTGGCTAATCAGTTCAATGATGACGGAAATAGGTGAGAATTTCCTTCTCTACACGACTGCCAAAGAAATCTGGGATGCAGTCCGTGACACCTTCTCTAGTAGTGAAAATACTGTTGAACTTTTCCATGTGGAGAGCATCCTCCAGGACCTACGCCAAGGAGATCAATCGGTAACCACCTACTTCACCACTTTGATGCGGTATTGGCAGCAGCTTGATTTATTCGAAACTCACGAGTGGAAGTGCTCGGATGACAGCAAATACTTCAAGAAAATAGTGGAGATCAAACGCATCTTCAAATTTCTAATGGGACTGGACAAATCTCTTGATGAAGTACGCAGACGGATTTTAGGCACCAAACCTATTCCGAGTCTTCGTGAAGTTTTCTTTGAAGTACGTCGGGAGGAAAGCCGCAAACGAATTATGATGGGACGATCCGATTCAATCCCTGATGGATCAACCCTTGCAGCAACCAAAGAAAATCAGTTCTCTTCAGAGCCAGCCGCCCTTGCTGTTCGCGGAATACCACAGAACTCCCGTCGAGGACGCCCCTGGTGTGACCACTGCAAGAAGCCAGGTCACTCAAAAGAAACATGTTGGAAGCTACACGGAAAACCCTCTGATTGGAAGCCAAGTCGTACCACTGGAGATCGTGAAAGCCGTGGAAATACTGCCGCTACAGAATCCACAAGGTCTCAAAGTCAGATTCCCTTCACTAAGGACCAACTGGAAATACTGCAGCAGCTGATCAACAAGGCACAAATCTCGGCTAATTCAGCAGCAGGGTCATCACAGGGCACGAGCAACCTTGCACTCCATGTAGCCAAGTCACCGTCACCTTGGATAGTCGACTCAGGAGCCTCCGACCACATGACAGGTGAAAGAATGTTATTCACAAGTTATATTCCATGTCAGGACTATCAAACTGTCCGAATAGCCAATGGTACACGTTCACGAGTTGCTGGAACAGGAACCATAAAGCTTTCAAAGACTCTTACCATCCACTCAGTATTATTTGTTCCTGACTTAGATTGTAACCTAATCTCTGTGAGCAAATTGACTAATGAACTCAACTGTGAGACTAAGTTTTTTGCTAAATCTTGTGTTTTTCAGGACTTGAGTTCGGGGAAGATGATTGGCAGTGCTGACCTATGTGCAAGCTTGTATCTTCTCAACTCAGCCACCACCTCAGCTTGTTCCCAGGTCAATAAAACAGATGTCAGCCCTCAATGTTGGTCTGCCAATAGTCTAGAGTCTGTGAGTCACACAAATAAAGATAGTGCAATCTTAATGTGGCACTATAGGTTAGGTCATCCAAATTTCATGTATTTGAAACGCTTGTTTCCATCATTGTTCATTAATAAAAATCCCAAGTTTCTTCAATGTGATATTTGCCAGTTATCTAAACACACCCGAAGCACTTACTCACCCCGTCCATACAAACCAACTCATCCGTTCTCTCTTATCCACAGTGATATTTGGGGCCCAAACAAAATTCCAAATACCACTGGAGCAAGATGGTTTTTGCTATTAATAGATGATCATACCCGGATAAGTTGGACATTCCTCATGAAAGACAAGTCTGAAACCAGCCAAATATTCAAAAACTTTCATAAGATGATTCAAACACAATTTCAAACAAACATCCAAATCTTCAAAACAGATAATGCCCGGGATTTCTTCAATTCCATTCTTGGTCCCTACCTCACATCCTATGGCATTGTTCATCAAAGTTCCTGCGTAGATACCCCACAACAAAATGGGGTGGCTGAACGCAAAAATCGACATATCCTAGAGGTGGCCCGATCCCTACTATTTCAATCCAATGTTCCCAAAAAATTCTGGGGTGAAGTAGTCCTCACTGCCACCTATCTCATAAATAGGATGCCCTCACGCATACTCACATTCAAAACCCCATTGGAAAATCTCCTAAAGTGCTACCCAAAATCACATTTGGTCACACAAATTCCCTTCAAAGTTTTCGGATGCACTGCATTCATTCATATTCATTCTCACAATCGCAGTAAACTTGATGAAAGAGCACTGTAGTGTATCTTCATGGGGTATTCATCAAACAAAAAGGGATACAAATGTTTTTCACCTACCACAAACAAATTCTATCATACAATAGACATCACCTTCTTTGAAAATAAACCTTACTTCTCCAATTTTGGGCTTTAGGGGGAGATTAGCACACATGAACCACAAAATTGGGACTGGACTTCTCTCATTGATTTTGGCTCACTCTCTCCTACTCTCTCTGGCCTACCTGATCCGAACATATCTTCATTAAGTCCAGTAAGCTCTCTGCCGTGTCCACCTCCTCGGCCAAACATGTCTCCTCCACCGAGTCCTTCCTCCAACAATTCAATTCCATATCCCAATCATCTCACCCTTCCTAATGATGCCATAAAAGTTTTTACCCGGAGAAAACATTTGCCTGAACAAGGACAGCAACATCATGGCTCAATCCCGAGTTCAAGAAACCCTGAGATAGCACAAGGTGAAGTGGATCTTAGTATGCAAATTGATGGTGAATATACAGAGAGACCCACAGAACACAACTCAGACTTAGAGCTGCCCATTGCTCAGAGAAAAGGAGTCCGGTCATGCACTAAGCACCCCATCTGCAATCACCTGACCTATATAAACCTGTCCCAGAAGTTCAGGGCATTTGTGACAGCCCTCGACAAAATTCAGATCCCAGCAACAGTTCAAGAAGCCCTACAAGTCCCGGAATGGCGAGCAGCAACCTTGGAAGAGTACAGTGCACTTGAAAAGAATGGAACATGGAGTCTAACACCTTTACCGCCTGGAAAGCACACGGTTGGATGCAAATGGATTTTTTCAGTCAAACAAAAGGCAGACGGAAGTATAGACCGATTCAAGGCACGATTAGTGGCAAAAGGATTCACACAATCATACAGAATTGACTATCAGGAGACATTTGCACTTGTAGCCAAATTCAATACGGTACGTGTTTTACTATCTATTGCCGTAAACCAAGATTGGCCGCTGCTCCAATTAGATGTGAAAAACGCGTTCCTGAATGGAGATTTAGTCGAGGAAGTATTTATGGATATCCCTCCTGGGTTCGAGGATGATCAAACAAAGGGAAAGGTATGCAAGCTCAGAAAGTCACTGTACGGGCTCAAACAATCGCCTCGAGCATGGTTCGACAGATTCACAAAAGTACTAAAACTTGATGGCTACACTCAATCTCAGGCCGACCACACATTGTTTATCAAACATTATACCGACAACAGGGTGATAATCCTAATCGTTTATGTCGATGACATAGTACTCACAGGGAATCATGAAGAAGAAATACGGAGACTCAAGGCCCTCCTTTCCAAGGAATTTGAAATCAAGGATTTGGGACTCCTAAGGTAGTTCCTAGGAATGGAGGTAGCAAGATCAAGCGAAGAAATTTCAGTCTCTCAACGCAAGTACGTGTTAGATCTACTACAAGAAACCGGTATGAGTGGATGCCGACCAGTCGAAACTCCCATGGATCCCAACACTAAATTAAAACCTCGGACTGAAGAAAAGCCAGTGGATAAAGGGCAGTATCAACGCTTGGTAGGAAGACTAATCTACCTCACTCACACTCGCCCGAACATAAGCTTTGCCGTAAGCCATGTTAGTCAATTCCTAAACAATCCATCCAAAGATCATATGGAGGCAGTAACTCGCATTCTCATGTACCTTAAAAAGGATCTAAGAAAGGGATTATTATTCAAGAAGACAGCCAATCGGCTCTTAGAAATCTACACAGATGCAGATTGGGCAGGATCTCCAAGTGACCGAAAGTCCACCTCAGGGTATTGCTCCTACGTCTGGGGAAATTTGGTCACGTGGCGCAGCAAGAAGCAGCCAGTGGTAGCACATAGCAGCGCCGAGGCAGAGTTTAGGGCTTTAGCCCAGGGCATTTGCGAGGGAATATGGCTAAAACGACTGCTGGATAACTCAGAATTGGCATCTCAGGACCAATCCAGATGATGTGTGACAACCAATCAGCCATAGCAATTGCCAAGAATCCCGTCCATCATGACAGAATGAAGCACGGGGAGATGGATAGACACTTCATCAGTGAGAAAATAGAAGGCAATATCATATCACTGAGTCATGTTCCATCACAACACCAAGTCGCGGACATCCTTACAAAGTCCCTCTTCAGGCCCAACTTCACGGAACTGAGCT